CCATTTGGTCCCCGACAACATTCCGGACGGCGTCCCATTTTTATTTTTTTGGGGCCCATTGCCCTTGGTGGTCCCATCATTTCTACATGTATGCCGATTTTTCTAGGCCGTGAGATCCCATCTCACGGTTGCCGTTTACCGTCTTTACTTGCCCCATGCCAAAATCACTCCTTCTTAGCCTTCCGGGCTTGTCGTAGCCCATTTCCTCTTAGCCTTGGCATCCCCATGCAGTCCGTAATTTCTCGGACTGCAGTCATGGCTGTTTTCTACACCCACAGCCCCACAACTTGCCCCATGTTAAAAGAAAATGAAGCGTTAAATTTTCTAGTGCATCCGGGCTCAATATTGGCTCCGGATGCACCTAGAACATGTGTTTTCTCTCCCCCATGCAGTCCGTTGCAACTCGGACTGCAATGGGGGTTAATTCCTTAGCCCCAATGCCCTACAACTAACCCTTACTCAAAAGAAAAGAAACGGCCAATTCCCAAGTGCATCCGGACTTGATTTTGATTCCGGATGCACCTAAAACATGTGTTTCTCCTCATGCATGTAATCCGTTTTATTTCGGTTGCAAGAGGCCTTGATTTTCTTTGATTTTCTCTGCAAAAATCAAAGAAAATCAAATTCCTTTGTAACCGCCATATTCCATAATGAATCTGGTCACGGATGAATCTCCCCAAGTGACCGTTTTTTACCGTTAAAGACCTTTTTCTCTTTTTTTTTCTTTTCTTTTCTTTTCTTTTCTCCTCCTTTCTTGGATAGTAGGAACCTGCCAGTCCCTACCTATGGCAGTCCCTACTGACGGCCAACTCACTCACTCCTTCTCACTCTTTTTGTCTTATTCTCCCATATTTTTTTTTCTTTTTTCTATTTTTTTTTAGCATGCAGAGTGTCAAGTGGCCGTTAAGGCCCTTTTCTAGCCTCTTCCTCTTAGTTTTGGCCCTCTCTATGCCCTTGGTGCAGTCCGTTATTTCTCGGACTGCAACAATGGCCTTCCCATGCCCATGGGAGCTTCCTTTTGCTCCTACATTTCTCCCATAGTCGCCCCTCCTACTCCGATTTTCTCCCGGAGGCTATTTTTCACATAGGGCCTCTTTTGACTCCATTTTCCTAGGGGAGGCTAATCCGAGATTTTTCGGATTGCTCCTATGCCTCCAACTTCAGTCTTCTTTACTTTTTCTTTTCCTTTTAGCCTTCCCGTTTTGTCACCACTAGTGCTTGCACTAGTGGTGCTAATATTCTTGGCCGTCAAGATGTTGATCTTGACGGTGCACCTTGCATTTATTATTTTCCCTCATGTGGTGCCGCCGTTTCTTCTTGGGACTTTCACATGTCCCCGCCACTTGTCCCGTCGGTGGTCCCCGACACTTAGTCCCGCCGGTGGTCCCCGACACTTAGTCCCGCCGATTTTCCCCGACACTTAATCCCGTCGGTGATCCCCGACACATTTTGCCCCGGATGCCATTATTTTTACTTAGTCCCACGTGGCCCCGGGTGCCTTTCTTTGAGGTGTCCCATGCCCCGTGGGCGTCTTGTCGCCTCATAGCGACCCTTTTCCCTAGTCTTTTCTCGCGCCTTGTGCGCGCCGATGTCTTTTGATCGTGGGCCTCTACTCCGAGGCTCCCGTAGGCGGCCTCCACGTTGGCCCCTCATTTCCTGGTTTCCCGCGGCCTCTGGGCCGCCCATCTCTTGGCTTCCTCATTCCCTTATTGTTGTCGCGCTGCAATTGCTAGTTCAAAGGGCCCTTTGGCCTTAGTCTTATTGCATTCCGATGGCCCTCCCGGCCTCCTACTATGTTCTATGTGCCCCTGTTCTTGCGCTCGCTTGCTTGCTGCCGCTTAGTTCTTTCCCCCTGTGGTTCTCGCCCTAGGGCATTACTCCCTCCTGCGGCCTAATCCTTCATCTCGTCTCACTCTAGATTTCTCTGTTGTGCACAGTTCGTCCATATTCGGTCTCTCAAGTGAAGGGAAGTTATTCGGGACTCACCAGTCCCGACACCGTGTACCCGGTTTTTCGTTGTTCTAAGTTAGCTCTGTTCGTTTCAGCGGAACACGACGACTTTCTTGGCCGACGATTGCAAGACCCACCCTCCATGGATAGTTTTTAGGAGGTCGCGCGACGTCATCTCCCGGTGACGCTATGGCAACAGGCCGACCGAGTACTTAGTACATTTTTCTTATTGTAGCCATAAGGCTGACCGTTGCCATCAGATCGTCAGATTCGCCCTCGACACGGCTTAACTTCATAAGGAGGGCGGGGTGTTACATACTGAGCCTGCACACGGGGCCCATTTTGGGGGCCCGACGGTAGCTAGGGGCCCCCACGCCGCACGCCCTTCGGATGCGCACCCTGGAGGCCCACGGATGCGCACCCTGGAGGCCCACGACTTAGCCCTTAGGCCGCAGGATTCGATTCGAGACAGCATTCATTTATTTATTTGCTGTCCTATTTTTGTCTGTTCAGGCGTCGTTTCGGACCTTTAGTCCCCAAGGCCGCGTGTGGCATACTGCGCACCACACGGGCCTGAAGGGCCCGACCAGGCGGAACAAGGGATAAGTCAGGGCCCTCCAGGCCCTGTGTCGTTTCAGCGTAAAAAGGAGGGCCAATGTTAGGCCTTCTTAAAGTCGACCTTTCCTGAAACTTAGGCGCCAGACAAGGGATAAGCGCAGGCCATGTTTCCAGCATCTCTCCCTCCCCCTCCAACTACCTGACTTCTCAGTATCGAACAGACTAGGGGGAGGGGGGGGGGGGGGGGGG